AGCTAGATACTGGGGCGGTGGTCACTATTGTAAACCGCGGTTCAATGGAAAAGCTACCACCTTTGCTACCGTGCAACTCGAGATTACAGACGTATACAGATGATCCAATTCAGGTATTGGGCAGATGTTTCGTTAAAGCCAAGCACGGGGAGCGAGAATGCACCCTACCCTTAATCGGTGTACCTGAGAACAAACCGAATCTTATGGGTCGAGACTGGAAACAGTTCTTTCCCGAGTTCTTTCTCAACCAACTCACTGTTGAAGACGGCAGTTTGAATGGATTATTGAACCAGTTCTCATGGTTGTTTGAAAACAAACTAGGAAACATGCATCATTTCAAGGCTTCTATCAAACTCCGAGAGAATGCCGAACCAAAAGTTTACAAAGCTAGATCATTACCTTATGCAATGCGCCCTAAAGTTAAGGCAGAGATACAACGTCTGCAATCAGAAGGGGTCATAGTCCCGGTGCAACATTCAGATTGGGGCACTCCGATAGTCCCTGTACTCAAACCTGACGGCTCCGTCCGTATTTGCGGAGACTGCAAATTGACAGTCAACCAAGCGTCGAAAGTGGAAAATTATGCCCTACCACGTATTGAAGACTTGGACGCGACTTTAGCCGGCGGCCAAAAGTTTTCCAAGCTGGATCTCAGTCACGCATACCCTCAGGTCGAACTTGATGATGAGTCACAGGAACGGACCACAATAACTACCCACCTGGGATTATTCCAGTACACGCGCCTCCCATTTGGAATAAATTCAGCACCCAGCATTTTCCAACGGATCGTGGATAATATAGTTAAAGATATACCGTTCACCTGTGCATACTTGGACGATATCCTTGTTACTGGTCGCAGTGCCGCTGATCACCTAAACACATTGCGTACTGTTCTCGAGCGTCTGGAAGAGTGTGGGTTGAAATTAAAAAGGTCTAAATGTGAGTTCATATCCGATTCTGTTTGCTACCTTGGTTACAAACTGCAAGACAAAATAGCGCTTATTGTGCAGGCACTTCAGCCCAAAAATAGTGATGAACTACGATCATTCCTAGGAAGGTTGTCCCACTATCGTCGTTTCCTACCTGATGCCTCGATCATTCTAGCTACATTGAATGAACCGCTACACAAAAACATCCCATGGATGTGGAAAAGTGAGCATCAATCTGCTTTTACTTGTGCAAAGAATTATCTTGGTTCCGCACCTGTTTTGGTTCATTACGATAGTGAAAAACCGTTAATCTTACAGTGTGACGCCTCTCCATACGGAGTCGGAGCAGTTCTATGCCACAAAATGTCCAATGGTGTCATTCACCCAATTGCATTTGTTTCACGAACTTCACAACCCGCCGAAAAGAATTACTCCCAGCTGGATAAAGAAGCCCTGTCAGTTATATTTGGCATCAAGGGGTTTCATCAGTACATTTGGGGCAACTATTTCGAAATACAAACCGATCACAAACCACTGATAGCCTTGCTGAGCGAGTCAAATAGAATCGAGCAGATGTTTTCACCAAGAATGCAACGCTGGGCATTAATGTTAAGTGCATATAAATATCGAATCTCGAATATTCCTGGGTTGAACAATCATACAGCGGATGCATTAAGCAGATTACCACATGCGACCCCAGAGGAAATACTGGAGGAACCAGTAGAGCTTTTAAATCTAATGCAACACCTCGACACCACTCGATTGACAGATGACACCATACGTCAGTGGACCGATCGTGACCCAACGCTATCCTCTACAGTGCGATTTACAAAAACCGGCTGGCCTACTACAGTTCCCGTCGATCATAAGCCTCACGGACAACGGCAAAATGAATTGAGCCTAAACGATGGATGCCTGTTATGGGGATCCCGCCTGATTTCACCGCTAAAGGCACGGCCGTTCACCATAAACGAACTCCACAACGCAGATGCAGGCGTAGCCCAAATGAAAACCTTGGCGCGCGGTTATTGCTGGTGGCCTGGCCTAGATACAGAAATAGAGAACTATCTAAAAACATGTGATTTGTGTCAGCAGTATCAGTCAACTAAATCTCCCGGTCCGGTACACAATTGGCGTTGGCCTGAAAAGCCATGGCAGCGCATCCATGCGGATTACTTTGGACCCATTAATGGTGTATTCTTCCTGCTGCTAATTGACGCTCATTCGAAATGGATAGATGTTTATCCCGTTGTCCACCCTACTACAGAGACAACTATCTCCAAAATGCGCTGGTCATTTGCAATATTTGGGATACTGGAGACACTCTGCACAAACAGTGGGCCATATTTCACTAGCAAAGAATATGAAATTTTCATGAATAGCAATGGTGTCCAGCATGTCCGTATAGCTCCATACCACCCTGCTTCTAATGGGCTAGCGGAAAGGGCGGTGCAGACAATTAAAAGAGGTCTCTCAAAACAAGCACCAGGAACTGTTCAAACGAGGTTAGATCGCTTGCGGTTTGCTTACAGGATAACGTTCTCGGAAGCCACTGGCAAATCACCTGCAGAGATGATGTTTGGCCGAACATCCCGTACCAGACTGGATCATCTGTTTCCAAATCATAGAACACAAATGGAGAGTAAACAAGACAAGGTAGCCGCATCGCAAGATGACCACGATTCTAGTTGGCAGCCGGGTGATCCTGTATACCCACGAATTCTCCATGAGCGCTGTTGGCAACCCGCAAATGTAATTAAAGGCGACCGTACCCAAGCAGATCTCGAGTTAAATGGTCGGATAGTACGGCGACACTCAAACATACGATCACGTTGTGTTGGGACAACAGCAGATGAACGTCTGGGTGAATCAGCATCCGTTCAGCCGGAAACGGAAGCAACCCCCCAGGATTCTGTACAATCATCAGATGCATCATCGCTTCGTAGATCTCAGCGTACGCATAAACCCGTTGACCGGTTCGTGCCAGGGGTATAAACATTTCAAGAGATGAGGCGATGTCACGTACGCGAATGACATCGATCCGTTTACTTCAGCCGTGCGCAGATTGGTTACCACTCACACCAGCCAGCCAATCATCTAACACACACACACCCCCGGTCTCGCGGCGCGAGTTTCCGTGAATCTCGTACCTTCTCAATTGATTGATAAATCTCCTGCTGTTCAGACGTCTTCAGCTTGCTGGGACTACGTGTCTCGGAAGCGTGCGTTACATGCTTAGTGGTACTACGTTTTACACTCCGTAACAAAAAAGTTATACAACCTATACCAAGGACTAGAACATTAATGCGGTCCGACTTTTTTCTGCCTCAGATACGCCGTCTTGTGGAACAGCATACCAATCGCAATCAGGAGATGTGAAAACCCCACTTCATTCCACACTAAACTCGACAGATTCTTTGATCTGCAAGGGTCATCATCCATGTTCTCACTAGACAACTCACCGGATGAAATATTCCGGCATGGTCCAAAAAATAGTTAAAAGGCTAAGAATTGGCGATAACAAGCACTCATGCAAGATCATGAACATTTCTGTACGTATCCGTTCCTAAGTCAAGAATAATTTCTCACACTTTCGAGAAATATACGTATATTAATGTATTACCAACAACAACAACAATGACAAACAGGAAAACAAATACAGCCTATCAGTGTCGCGTCTGGTGCGTTACCACAGACAATAAAATGAGCCATCTGATGCAGATAGAAGAGGTGGGAATTTAATAGAAAAAGTGAATACCTTAGGTGCCCACATGTTGCTAGCAACAAACGGTCACGAAACGATGGCACAGTTATACCACGCAGCAGGCTCCGATTGCTGGGCCACGTGTTGCGCATGCCAGTCCACTGACTTCAGCAACATGCATTGTTTGCGTGTCGGGCGTTCGAATGGAAGAAGAGGAGAGGTGTCCAAGCGATGAGTTGGTCAAGAAGAATGAAGGCCTTACTTCGAAGTTGGCCTCGGTTGGAGCCTCTCGGCTCCCTGGTTGGGGACAAAAGAAGGATGAACACCTTTGGTTGGATACACTTGTTGACATGGCCAAAAGCTGACCACAGTGGCGTTTGCGTTTTGGGTTTTTTTTCCCTCCTCTTCCCGCTTACCTTCTCCTCTCAAACCCCGTTCTTATACGTGATGCGCAATATGACACTAAGCATCATATTAATTTTTCAGCGTTGGTACTGTATTCGTTAATATTTTGTATCTCGCTTTCTTCATATATCTTTTTATACTGCGGCGCATTGGTTGAAGTGCTTCTCACCTTCACCTAACGCGTCTTGATGATGTTGACAACGGGGAGAAGAGTTTGATGCGACACTGGTTGAACGGTGTCACAACCAACCATAGATTAAACAAATGCATAAATAAATCATGGGTTTCCATTGCATATACTAACTCGACATGGATACGTTTGACAAAGACAGCACCCCAATGGAGAAGTCACCAATAGTTAAGCAAGGCAACGGTTTGCATAGTGGGAAGAATGGAAACAGGAGAACGGCATGTCTTCTCAGAAGAAAGGACTACAATGTGCTCAAGAATCCAGTACGAAGAAATAAACAGCAAACTACTGTGAACACAAGCGTGTCGAAGTGTCAAAGTCCAGCAGTGTGTTCTGCGGTGTCATCTGCAATCCGGCTATTTGGGATGAATCAGGTTTGGGGCTGGCTCCAACCAGAGCAGCAAGGAAGGGAGAGTAAACCCACTGCGATGCCAGCATAAGCCACAGTCAGGGATGAGGGGAAACAGATCAACAGCGCCGGATGGAGAAGTCAGCGAATTCACAGTCCCAGCTACCAGCTCAAAGACTGACCATCGCTAGAGATGCAACATTCCACATCCGATAGACGTAGCGGAGATCTTCCCGGTAAATGATGAATGGGTAGGCGCGTAGCACGTGACAGAAAAGAAGCAAAAAAGCCATGTGTCTAGCGTGCATCAATGGCACAAAGCAACAGTCAAGGGCGTCAAATCACAACATGAATGGGTAGACCGATTGCTGAATGGCTCGCGTATAACATGACCGAGGTGGCAATATCAACCCTGTGACCTACCTAGCTTCAGAAGCCATCCACTCGTGAGCGTCTTGGAGTTGTGATTGAAAAAGCCCAGTCCCTCGTCTGATGCGGGTTGGATGGGTTCGTTTTTGATGTTATGGTACACTTTCTGTGTTATGGAGCAAGGAAAGAAGCAAGTTAGGATTGTACTACTGCCGAGCAGAGAGGGATGGGACAGAACACGGGATCTGGGAGTAAAACCGATAAAAAACAAAGCTGCCAGTTCGGGAAAGCGATTGATACAAAACGGATAGCGCCGACTGAATAAGGAGGAATCGCCTAACAGGAATGGTGGAAAAATCAGTAGGAATGAAACGATTATGCACACGAATCTGAAAATTGTCATCAGGATCAATATAAGCTAGCCGAGGGTGAAGAACACACCTCAGTTAATGTGCCGCAATACAAAAATGGAAGATATTAAGCAATGTAGAGTTAAAATCTATAAAAAGCAACGTAATGCTAATCGCATTTTGATGGCTGTTAGAGGTGGAAGCTAAAAGGAAGGGGAAGGACAAGGAGACTCACATCAGAAACGCCACTGAGATCGGATATTCGCCATTTCGGCTAGTGTGACCAACCAGACGTGTTCATCATCCTTCGGTCCCCAGGCAGGCAGTCGGGTAACACCAATCGACGCCAATTTCGCAGTGACGGACTTCGTTCCTTTCGGCTAGGTCATTTTCGGCATCTGCCAACCGCACCACCGGAGCGCAAGCAACGCACGTCGCGGGAGTTAATGGGTTGACAAACGCGCAACACGAGGCCCGGCCGTCAGAGGCTGGCGTGGGATTTAATGGTGCTGAGCGGTTTGCGCGCAGAACACGCCCATTGCTCAAGCGGTGTTCCTACCAGAGATAAGGTAAGCTACGAACGCAGCGATGATCGAACGTGAATAGCTTCCTTATGTCTGTCAGCTTGACGGGCCGCGTTTCACAACAGTGTAAGAGGGTTGTACGGACGGCTACATTGGAAAAGCCGCCCCTCAGAGCGAGAGTAATGTCACGCCGGCGTCACAAATGGCGGAGATTAGCAAAAGTTCATCGAGCTTTTGCTATACGGTTCGTGATCTCATCTTCCGTTATACTGGCGTTGAGATAGCTGTCCAGATACTTGAATTTCTCGATAACTTCTAAAGGATCACTATCAACGGTCAGTACAGAAGTGGGTCCCTGTCAGCCTTGAAGAACTTTGCATTTTGATGATGTTAAGCATAGCCCGACAACGACGGACAGCCAGAGCTAGTTTATTTAGTGCAACTTGGCACGTTTGAGAGTTGTCACAGATGAGCGCAACGTCGTCAGGATACTCCAAGTCGAGAAGTCGTTTACCGGGAAGCAGCTCCAAACTTAAGTAGTGCCCGACGAACGCCGTTTCATGACTTCATCAATGGCAAAGTTAAAGAGGATATAGCGGGAAGCCTTGTCTCATTCTGCTGGAGATATTGAGGGACAGCGAAACCTTGCCGTAAACTTTCACTCTGCCCGAACTTCGCGTTCACAGTGCTCGAACAATATTAGCCAATTTCTCGGGCACGTTTTTTCTGAGTAGACAGTCCCAAAGGGCATATCGATCAACCGAATCGAATGTACCTTTGATGTCTAGGAACACCATTAAGGTAGGCCGCCAATAAACATCGCGGTGCTCCAACGATTGTGCAATATGGAGATGCGGTCGATGCAGCCTCGATTTCGAGGAAACCTGGCCTACTCCTCGCACATCTGGCTTTTATGAGTGCCATTTAGTCTATGAAGGATGACAGACGCAAGTAACTCGGAGGCAATGGAGAACAGACTGATTCCTCTATGATTGCCGCATTCGGAACGGGTAAAGGGCAGGGCATGAGCGGTACGCCGGTACACAGTACCGACGCTTCGCTGTCGCGCAACCATTACTGGTCGCACGTTGGATAGGGATACTGAGAAACGGGAGCCTCCCTGGAAGATTGGAACTATGACGGAGCTGCTCTAGTCTGCCGGGACAGTCTCCTGCCTCTATAAATTCACTAAAAACTTATGTAAATAGTTGAAAAGAGCAGGTGTCGCAAATTTGAAGAGGGCTGGATGAAGTCCACCTGCTCCGGCGGCCTTGTTCAATTTCAACAGTCTGATCTCACATTCGATTTTTGCAAGTGAGGGCGCATTCAAGGGGACAGCCCAGGGAGTAGGGCACTCATTGGCCGATGGAGGAACTGACAACTCTGACTGCAGAAACTGCTACTCAGTGTTCGGCCCAACGCTCCAAGCATTTTTACAAGCTGTGAATAGGTTGTCCACTCTCATTGATTTTGGTCTCGCTAAAATCGGGTTTCCTGCTGCCCGTTTCTCGCGTGACGGAATAACTTCCGTTGGTTACCAAGAGCAGCGGCCACTTTCATCTCTAACGCATGATGAGACCACCAGGCTTCGTGGTCCCTCTTCAAGATAGCACGTAATTTTGCCCTGAGAGTTTTGCGAGTCTCGTTGTATTCGCTTCCAGCCGGAACACGCCGTCGAGCATCGATCAGTTCCAGCGACTGCATGGAGATCCAATGTCTAGTTTGGCAATTTGACTTGTCGTATCAAGACATGCCTGCTGATAATAACGTCCGGCGGATATGCGACCAGTGATCTTCAACTGCGTTCAATGAGCGTTTGCTTAGGCCAAATGCTAGCGTACTTTGCACCCATTCAGAACATCTGGTTTCGCCAGCTGGCAAATATGCATGTATGTACAAAGTCGTCGCGAACGTCCACGGAAACGCACCCGGTCGGCGCAAACAAGTACGTCGTCAGAGTCCATGCTCGTGATCCAAATAGAGCGACAGTTTCGAACGCTTCCTCTCTAGCAGTAAATGATCGCAAAGCGAACGATTTGCGTCCATGGCTGGTGGGCGCCAAGTCACTCTCCGGCAGGTGCTGCCTGAAGTTAGTGGTCGCGAGAAACAGACGAGTATCTTCACTCAGGTGTAGTAACTGTTCACCGTTATCATTACGAGAGCGCATTAGTGGACAGTTTTCCGACTTGAGCGTTCAAATCACCAGCAATACAACAGTATTCATAATTCTTCTTTGACGGGGAAGGGCGTTACTGTGGTGATAAAAGTCGTCTTTCACCGAGTCGGCGCTACAATTTGTGGGCGCATAGACCGCAAAGACAAACAAGCACCGTTTGGCCAAACGCAACTTCGATGTTTGAACCAGCCAGTCAAGCTGACAGCGCACATTCGGCGATTCATTGGGATCCAATCGATCAAGGCTGATTCAGCCCGGGAGCTAAGAGCAATGCCCACACCGGCTTGACTGGCATTTGAAGCCGCTTCATCTTCGGACAAATGCAACGTGAAAATACAGACGGTGTCGCACGCTGGGGAATGCAGGGTAATCACAGAACTAGAATCTTGCAGGCGACATATTGACAAGCAGCAGATATCAATTGATAGTCTTCAGTGCCTGGACAAGCGTTGCCTGTTGGCCGATTTGCAACAAAGTCCGCACATAGAGGCATGCCAATATGAGGGAGGACCGACGGCTCCAAATAAAAGCAGATGAACCGACGTTTTCCGTTTGGTTGAACAAGAGATTACTGAACAAAGATGAGAGAAGGCCGAGAAATGGGGGATTTAAAACAAGAGGATAAAAGTAAAGTTGGAGTAGGACGATAAGGATGAAAAAGCGCAAGAGGAGGGATAAGAAGACAGAAAGGCTTGGGCATTAGCATCCAAACCTCTATCCACCTTGCTCGATGCAGTAGATATGGCGCCGTTTATTATCATCTGCGGCGACCAGTGCATCAAAAGTATACTTAAAGAAGTCATAATGTTGTAGTGCGTGGAGATGACCCTGTCAGATTGCCCAGGCATAGACAGTAGAACGATTAGGGTTCGCAAGCAAAGTCTTTGGTTCAGAAACTTGATCGAAATGCAGCGGGGGTTTGGCACTGGACAACAGAGAGTCCGCTCTATGGAGTAAGGAGCCACCAACGCTCCAACCCCCAACTTGGAAAGTCATGGAACTGAGTTGGTCTGGCCTCTAACCATTGACCAATCTGGTATGAGTGGCTCCGAAGGTGCAAAAAAAGCACCACCCAGCATAGCTCAATGGATCGTTGAGGCAGGCAAACCATCGCACCACGTTAAGGTCCAGTCTCGTGGACTTTATGTCTAGTTACTAGACTGTTGAGATTACTACTACTACTCGTGGACTGGGTGCCGCAAACCATCCCCAGCAGAAGTAATCCAAAGATAAACCCATAATTTTTGTTCGTCGCAATCAGCCGACAATTCAGATAAGTCAACTAGGTATTCGGAAAAGCACCAGACGGCCGTTTCGCCCTATTGGGGCTCATCAGTGGTGCTCATCCTTCGGTCCTCTGTGGAGGATTGAACCCACAATGTATGATCACAGCTGAAGAACGAACGCATCGTGAACACAGACGACGCCAAGAGCAGTGCAAAGGGTAATGTGATAAGGGTAATGTAATACCATCAAAAAGCCCAAGTTAGAGGAGAACCTCAGCAGAAATGGATGGATCCGAAGCCAATCAGCTCCATGCCGCCAAGACTGCGAACTCACTCGTATCAATTCCTCGGGTATATCTGTTTCCCCATCGTAATCTCGCAAAGTCCGAACGAACGTTTTCTCTTCTGCAAGGCCGAGGGTTTGACCTTTTGCATTGGTGTTGTGCAGTGTTGTGTTCAGTAGGATAGCGGCATACGCAAGAACGTAGACCTCATCTAGGAGATAAAGGGAAGGTTTTAACAAGGAATTCTGTGATAGCCGCGGCTTCACACTACTAATTAGTTGTCAGCGTGTGTACATACAGATGTCATTCACTATTCAAAGCTCCAAGACAGCAAAAGCAAGTTTTAGAATACAGCTTACAGGATGTCTGCCAATTTCAGGACCAACCAAGCGGCGCGATGCGCCGCTAGCGTTATATTCGCACAAATAAATTGCAACACGGGTGATCAGTGAAAACACACAAAGGAGGAACGCAGCAAGATTGCGGTAAGAGCTTATAACAGTGGCTGCGCCAAATCAAGTTAGAAATAAAGGAACCGATGTGTAGGAAGGTTATCGGTATTTACTAGGAAGAAACAAAGGCAGACGATAATACAAAACAGTAGAGGTGGATGACGGGGTACAAGCAATTATCGGTAAATACAGGAAAAAAACAGATGAGAGAAGTGGTATAAGCCTGAAAGCAAATCAAGTGTAAGGAGTGATAAAGGTTGACAAGATAGACCGAATTAAGAGAATATCATCATCAACCATTTCACATGTTAGCTAGAGGTTGAAAACACCACAGCTAATGTGCCGCAATACGCAAGAAAAAAGCATGCAATAGGAGTATGCCAGCTGAGCTACCAGCGACGGATAGGCATCGTTCCGAAAAGCTATCAACAGGCTGTTGTGACGCAAAAAGTTATATTACCCTTCATGAATGAGATGGTGGTTTTATGGGGAGGGACAAAGGAAATCACAATACAAACGCCACTGAAGACGGTTCGTTGTCATGTCAACAAGTGTATTCAGGTGCGTATTCGGTAGCCCAACAAAAGAGCCTAGAGGCTTCAACCGAGGCTAAGGTCAAACTAAGGGCTTTCATTCCTCTTGACCAAGTCATCGCTTGGCCACCCCTCCTCTTCTTCTATCTGCACCCCCGGCGCGCAAGCAACGCACGTCGCGGGAGCCGGTGTGCTGTCATACGCAACGCGAGGACAAGGCATCGGAGCTTGGTGCGTGATATAACGATGCTGAGTGGCTCACCTCTTCTTCCTCTGACATAAACAAGCAGTCGAACACGCTCATTGCTCCTACGGTGTTCCTAAATTAAGATACCTCCGACAACGCAAATGTGGGATTATGCACCACGCGGAGTAGACGCAACCAGTGGTTGAAATGTACACACACACACACACACACACACAGAGTTATTAACCCCAAACCGTTACTGAAGATAGCAGCCCTCATGGAGAACAAGGGTCGATAAAAGCAGTGTACGACCGATGCACAACATAAGTGCCAATTCCCGTAACTTAATGGGAAGGAAGTAGAAATGTTTACATGTCATTAGAAAGCTTAATCGTTAGTACAGACAAGTAGACATAGAAATGACTCTGAACAGTAGTCATGATAAATCAAACCTGGGATACACAACGAGTTGCCACATGGGGGTGGGAACAACACACAGAGGAGTAGAGCACGTGAGGTGAAAGGACAGGGTAATGATGAGCACGTCACTCCCTTCCGGCTGAATAGCTTGCGTAACGTTGTTGGTTAGCGGTATTTGGATGACCACATCATGGGAGTGCCAGCCTAGTAGCAGTTAATGATCAGTGACCAGTTTTCAGAGGTAGGTTCGAGGTGTCAAAGTTCGCTGGACTGCACAAGTTTCTGAAATTGAAGACTGCTTCAAAACGAAGGAAGATAAAGTGGGTCGGTGGCGTGAAAGAGTACAGTGGAGACCGTTTCTAGCTGAAGGACGGGATGGCACACAATACGCTGAAATAGCAGAAAAGTCTATGGGACAGGTAGGTGGACGTATTGAAAAGCATGACACAGTAATCCAGCCTGTGAGCAAAATGATAAGGTGTTTGCCACCCAATCTAAAAGCCACCGGGTTCAAATAAGCGGAGGTGCGGGTAGATTCGTACTATCCATAGCCGACTCAGGAATGGTGGTGATCGCATGGCAACGAAGCGTCGGTGCAGCGCACCGGCGTACTACTGATGCCTTAGATATCACCAGTCACTAGGATGCAAGCAAGTAAGTAAAGTCGTAAAAGGTTGAGTCACTAGCGAAAAGCTAACATACAACCGTTCCTGAGGCAAAGTGATGCGATTGGCGGCTAGGGTAACAGAAAATGAATGGAATTTGGCTCCTGAAGCCCAAGGAAACGAAAGAGGATAAAACGAAGGAGGTGAAATGAAAATAAATATAACATATGAGCTAAGAGAGTGCCTTATGCGGATAGTACACAGCAAGTTAAGTGAAAATTTTGATGAGGAAAACGTTACTGGTGCCAATTGCTGCTTAAAGTCTAGTTTTACTGTGGGTAGCATACTGAGGTGGGATTGGAACACACACAGTATGGAGGCGATGAATGGAGAATGAGTGATGTATACCAGGGTACAATGTTATATCCCCGGTTTGTGGAGCGTAGAGTCGTCTAAGACTTGACCGCACCAAACGTCAAGTCAAACGACAGACAAGACAGCAGATTATATCGGCGGCATAGACCAAAGCACGGCAGCGAGTGAGAGTGAGGTACGTGGCCACAGCCGTGCGACGACATCGTACTTCTAGACACTGGATCGCCGGGCCTAATAAGTAATGAAAAATGTGATGTACACAAAAGTGAAACAGTCGAATCGAGACTCTTGGGGCAGAGGCAGCCAAGCATATATGTATATGCCACATTTAGTTCTGACAGACAGTCATTCACTAGCAAGCCGCTTAAAAACAGATCGCTCACGTGGTAACCTGTGACCATAGCGACATGAAGCGAAACTGCCCAAAAGTGGTAGTGAAGTTGGGTTAACACAGTGGCCCCTACAAGGGTTGAGAGAAAAATGTTAAAGAGTACTGACAGAGAGAAAACAAACTCTCAGTTGGTAGAGCAGCGGACTAATAATCCGTACGTCCGGGGTTCGATTCCCCGTCGAGGTAGATTACTGTGGTTTCTACTTTTTACAAAAATTACACTACTCACAAAACCACCAATAACCTAAACACAAAAGGACCAATAGTGCACCGTCAGATTAAGGCAAGTAACTGACTCCAAAAAAAACGAGACCGTAAAATCACCAACATGCCTCATGCAAACAAGCGGAGCTTCCACAAACCACGGGCCGAGGTGGGCAAGTAGTGAACGCTAAGGCAACGAACGGCACACACTAAGCATAAGACGTCATTGTCTGTCACTAAACATCGACGTGGTGAGACTCGCCAGGTGCTCATACCAAGAGTAAGTAACGGTTCGCGGACAACAGCAAAAACGTAATGAATCTAATCTACGCTGTGAAACGGGTGACATGGAGGTGTGGGACAACACAGATACAAACGATTTCGCCGTTTACCTAAATGTCTGAAACTTTGAAAAGCAACAAAGGGTGTCACCGGCATGTTCAGTAACCTCTTTGCAGAACTCACCACTAGGGAGAGGGCACGCCCAAATGAACTAGAGAATGAGACAAAAGAACCTGTTGTCCGCCAGTTATGGCGAGAGCCTGTAGGGTGTAGACTCCATTTGGCAACTGCTGTTGGAACTTAGCAGGCGTAAAGTAGAGGAAAAATTTATACGGCGTTCCAAATCTCACGACAGATCAGTAAGCACTTAGGGTGCGAGTTAATTATAACGAGTATTACGCCCACCGTATATTTTATGGATATCAGCCAGTCAACAGACAGAAAAGCAACAACAAAAAAGACGCGAGAGGATTTCGACAGAAGGTTGAAAATGCTGGAATAAATAAAGTAGCTCCGATGGACCTAAACTATGTAATGCCAGATAGAAAGGGTGGCTGGCTTCACTCGGGCAATTGTGAGCAAAAACTAGAGTAGCGAAGATCAACTTGATGTAACTCATACGGACGAGTGTGAATGGAAGGGACAAGAGAAGTAGGCATACATGAGAAACAACAATCGATGACGAAACAGAGAAAAAGGAAATAGTTGTTTGTAATGCGTAATAGCGACAGCATCACCGGCATCGCCACTGCACCAGGGCCGGGTGATACTGAGTATGAGTCTTCTACTCACAGAGGACGGGATGATACGCATTAGCCTTACCATATTACTTGATCAGATTCATCCGATATACGGATTTAGACTTTAAACTGTAGAATAGCCAGTCATTCTAGTCGCCACACCCACAAAAAGATGGACAAAGTGAAACTTCTCTTAGTCACTTGTATACAAAGAAATTAATTTCCTCCGTAATGAATTTTTGTTCCCCGCAAACCTCCCAAGTTAATCCTTACCAATATAAAACTATATCCATGGGCGCAAACGCCGTTAAATGCGTACTATTCATTGGGTGACCAATTCCAAATCAGTACACAAAATGATATGCTATTGGGCATTTTGGAACTGGTCACCCAACAGACAGCACGCTTTTAGGGGCGTTCGCGCCCGTTGGATGTAAATTGAGGGACCAATGGAGGAACATCATTTCTCTGAGGAATTGGAGTTCTATGGATGCTATAGATGACTGGGGAAAATGTATAAAAATACTGTGAGATCGCCCGCGTGTGCATCGACACTACTAGCCGAAAAGTTATGTTCGGTGTTTGCCGAAACTGTTCGCCAGTAAGAGTGTGCATAGCATCGACCACGAAACAGCTTCCCGGTCACTGTTCGGGACATCGGATGAGCGATCAAACTGAGCATTCACAGCATAAGTAACAAGCAACAAAGAGTAAGTGGGGAGGGAAATTCCCCGACAGATGCTTTCAGAGTAGCACCGATTGTGACCTACAGGGGAAGTATGAAAAAGGTGATCACGTTTTCGAACAGTGCCGCCCGTTAGCAGCCATAGAGACTCAAAATTGACCAACCTACATGTGGATATTCTGTAGGATTCACAAGAGCAGGTTGCTTTCGGCATCTCTGTTAAGGACAACACTAAGATACCGCAAAACAATCGGAGGCACTGACCCATTATCGACAGAGAAGCAAAGAATATGGTCACTGTCAACAGATACTGAGTCGGGTAGTGAAAGATTCATTATCACGCATCAATGCGGAGACAAGCCATCCCACGAGTGAGAGTCAGTGTTGCCTATTAACCGAACTAATGCAGGATGCGAACGCGGAAGAGGTCAAGGCGATATAGGATCATTCGTTAGAAAGATGAGCTAAGCACATCGTTCACAACGGTAGTGAAGTTAATGATATTCCCGGGATAACCAAGTCCCGAACAAGAGATTTGAAAGGAAGAAGAAACACAGCGATAAGGAAATTAGTAATAAGGCATAGTGGACAGATGACGCTTTCCCGCTGCTCAATCGGAGTCGTAGTAAACTGCGAGGAAATCTAACTGCACCATTTGATACTCAAGACGCGCACCCACTGATAGAAAGATCCCAAGTGTGCATACTGCTCTGAGCGTGCTCTCATCGAGTGCACATGAAAAAGTTGAGATCGAAATTGTCCTACTTTCTACTGTTGACTTGCATGTTTTTATTAGCATCAGTAATACGCCGGTACGCCACGTGACCACAACCAGTTGCGATCGGGATACGAATACCGCAAAGTCTCATGCGCCTTTGCAGAATTGTACGGAAGACCTTTGGAGTAAAAGGTAGAGGCCTTATACCAATCGGCCAGCAGCAGACGCGACTGAAGTCGTCTCTATATCAAGCTCCGCAATACTGTCGTCGTTGAGTGGCGACTCGAAACACTGCGCAACTTAACGCCATGGCCTCTTCATGGGCATTGCTGTTGTGTGTCCACGCAAATCGCGCCGTGATACTGCCGCATATAGTAACGTCTCAAACTGCACTGACCTCAAATGAACTCTCCTCAGGACACTACCAACATGTAGTAGCTCATGTGCCACACAATTCAACTTCTATAAATTATACCTTAAGCTGCTATACCGTACAGAAGCAGGCTTGCCATGGGTAGACAAAGTTTTGCTATTGATCACCTTTTCTTTTTTGAGTCTCGGTGCGCTATTACGCTTCACATCTCCACTCTCAGTTGATGTGCACACACGTCTAACGGTAAGGTCCCTATCACTGCACGTGGGGTGCTATCATTGATAATTGTTTCGACCGTTCCGAATGGGAGAGTCTAAGCAACTAGGACATTTATAGCAGACAGAGTAATGAGTAACATCGGTTTGGCCGGATTCGGAAGTCGCTAAGAAGGAACACAACTAGAGGTGAATTGATGGCTGAAAAACATCGCCAAATTGCTCTCAGTTTATGATGGTTCATTGAGCATTCGGTTGTGAACGAATGACACCAGTTTGTCAACGATGTTAAACCACGCCTTGTGACAATTCGGAGTAGCCATCAGGATTTTGCAACAGATTTCCGTTTGGAGTGAAATCTGGAGACAAAGTGTTAATCACCTTGGGAGCAGCCCATCAACACAGACACTATGAGAAACCTGAGTGAGAAACGTGGCCGTCACATGGCGCTGTTCCTGGCACGGAGGTAAAACAGAGAACGTGTCAAATGAAAAAAATTATTTAATTAAGGGGAACCGACTGTTACACCACAGTAACAAGGAAGAGGGCAGCACAGAATTGCAAAATATCAAGAGGGAGCAAAAGTGATCGACCGTGAAAAACGAACCACATGGAAGTGACTCACGAGCAGAGTGGAAGGACTGTGGGTTTTGTTCCAAGTACCGTTCGGCGAAACTCGTGAGGATACGATCGATCTTCTGGCTCTCACCGGGTAGTTGGAAGCTGAGAAGGAACCGCCTGAGTGCAATAACAAGGTGAAGAGCACCAAATCAGAATTCTAGGGGATGGCGTATCGATAACGAGATCGGCCATACTACTGAAATCCGATGGCCAGCTTGTACAGTTCCTACTTGGTTACACTGCCATTTAAAGATTAATGAGTAGTGAGGGGTTTATTTTATTTTTGAAAAAATTCCTCGTAGTTGGACACAGCCAGGTAGCCAACACACATTCAGGAGTGTTAGACGGCCGTTTCGTCCTATTAAAACTCGTCAGTAGCGCGCATCCGCCGAATTCGACCGCATTCGAACCCATGATCTTACTCTTGCGAGTCAGTAACTAACGCCGTTGAGTCATTGGTGACGGTAGCGGACCGCTATGACTGATATCTAAATGTGATATAGGGCAGCTCATCCTTCACAGTCATGCATGTTATGAACGTGGAGAAGACAGGGCTGGCATTAGAGCAACGACTTCCTCTGCAAGCCGCCACCAATCGAGGTGGTATGTGAACTGTCATGGAGATTACTGATTGAAAAGTTTATCAGCACGTTGATGTTCTCTACACCCGCACGCCCCAAGAAGAATAAAAGTAATCATACTAGGACTAGTATGCATACGTAGTTCATGAGTTAAATAAATCGCACTGTGGTGTACGGTTCATAACTAGTAACCAAAGCGAAATAAAAAGTGGAAACAGTAAAATGTTTGAAAAACGAAAACTGGGTCAGGGTCAGCATCGAATTAACCCGCAGTACCATTGCACAATACAATTATAAGGAGAATGAAGCGAGAAATAAGGAAAACGGTGTGTTACAGTTTTCAGTTTGGTCAATCCAATTAAAGTGGTTCTTAGTTCTGGAGCAGTGTTAAGTCACAGACTGAAGGATCTCGAAACCACGACTTTAGAGGAGAGTCCTCCTGCCAGTTTTCTTTAAAATTTTCATTGGTTCCTCATATGTTGCAGATGGCCTATCGAAGTCCAGCAAGTTCAGAAACAAAAGCCTTTTAAAAATACGAGTAAATGAAAAGCTAGTGATCGTTGTATTCTGTCAATCATTGAACAACAGTAAAGGTAATTTCGTGAGGTAGAGTGTGTGACGTGTTTGATTGCGGTACGCAAAACGTGTGTTAAACCACCACGCTTTTTAAAGTATGTTTCGAACATTGAAAAAATTGGGACCAGATCTAAGTTTCTTTCTATAAACCTAAAAAGACTTATTCGTGCTCTCTCTACGCAGACAGAGTGAGGTGGAGCAGAAAGCTGGACTCAGAACGATCCGGTCGACAGTATACACGTGGTCTCATAGACTACACCACAATGAAGCTGGACCTTACCGTTGTGCGATGACTTGTGTGCCTCAGCGGCCCACTGAACTATGCTGCGTGGTGCTTCTTTGAGCACCTTCAGAGTCACTCATACCAAATTGGTCAATGGTTAGATGCCAGATAAAATCAGCCTCCTGGTTCTCCAAGTTGGGGGTCCGAATAAGCGTTGCACCATATTCCTTAAAACGCACTCTTTGTAGCCCAACGCCAAACCCGCTGCATTGCGGTCAGGTTTTTGAACCAAAGGCTTTGGTTGAGAACCCTAATCGTTATCCTGTCTAGGTCTGGGCAACCTGATGGTATCCTGCCCACGCAAGACTATGAACCTATCGTCAAACTAATTCCTGATGTTCTGGCCACCGCAGAGAATAATCAACGGTGCCCTATCTGCTGCATCGAGCAAGGTGGATCGGGGTTTGGATGTCACTGCTCAAGCCTTTCCGTCTTCTTATTCCCCCTCTTAAGCTTTTTCACCCTTATCGTCCCGTTCCAGCATCCCTTTTATCCCCCCCGGTGCTCAACCCCCCGATTCTTGGCCCTCCCCCAACATGCTTTGCTAGGCTTTTCTAGTTTCAACTCATATGTGAACGTGGAGCGTCATGCCTATCCTGTCGACAAGCCCATGTCCAACCAAGCGGCCAAGCCCAATTCATCGACTTCCATTTGGAGCCCTTGATCATTTTTCCGGTTAGCATGCCTCAATGTACGCACATTGCTTCAGATCGGTCAACATGCAGCAACTGCCCAAACATTAGACACTCTCTCGATCGATATCTGCTGCTTATCAGAGACCCACCTACAAGACTCGAGCTAAGTGCTCACTTTGCGATCACTTCAGATGACACCAGCAACACTTTCTCATTGCACCTTTCCGGTGACGACGCAGCTTCAAGCACCGGCCAAGCCGGTGTTGGTATTGCCCTGAGTCCCCGGGCTGAAACTGCTCTGGTTGATTGGATTCCAATAAGTAGCCGGTCCAATTGGCTGGATCGTTCAAAGCTTCGAGGCCAAGCGATAATAACTGGTGTTTAATCGGCATCGCTGCCTACGCGCCCACAAACTCTAGTGATGACTCGGTCAAAGACGACTTCTATCGTCAACCGAACGCGATTCTCAGTCACAGAAGAAGCTCGGACACTGTAGTGCTGGCTGCAGATCTGAACGCTCAAGTTGGAAAATTATCCACTGATGAACTGCATCTGGGCAGCCAACATGGTGTCGGCTTTCGTAATGATAACGGTGAGCGGTTACTACATTTGTGTGAAGACGCTCGCTTATTTCTTCCGAGCACTAATTTTCGGCACAGCACCCGCCGGAGGGTGACTTGGCGCCCACCTGCCTCGAACCAGCTATGGACGCAAATCGATCACATCGCGAAAAATTACCGATGGTGAACCTGCGTCTAGAACTGTCGCTCGATTTGGAGCACAGGTGTGGACACCGACTATGCACTTGTATGTGCTGACCTGCGGATGCGTTCTGGCGGACGCCCACCACGACGTTGCCAGCGCATTGACATTAGCCAACTGGCGAAGCCAGCTGCTCTGAATGCCTATCAAAGCACGCTGTCATGGAGTTGGAGAAACCCTCACTGGATGCAGTTAAAGCTTACTGACCTCATAGTCCCCAGTCCGTACTAGCAGCAGGGAAATCCCCATGTGATAAGTCTAATCGCCAACATGGACATTGGGTTTCTTCTGGAACTTATCTCTGGAACTTAACGATGCTCACCGGAATACTCCGGCTGGAAGCGAACACAATGAAACTCGCAAAGAGCTCCGGGAAAAACTCCGTGCTAACCTGAAGAGAGACCACGTATCCTGGTGGTCTCACCGTGCAGCAGAGATGGAAATGGCCGCTGCCCTCGGGAACCATAGTAAGTTATCCTGGCTGATACGGAAAACGGGCAGCAGAAGACCTGGTGTTAGTGGAACTATACGTGACGAGAGTGGACAGCCTATCCACAACTTATCAAAACGCTTGGAGCATTCGGCTGAACATTTTGAAAGGCAATTCAATCGGTCGAAATTTTTAGATTTCTCGCCAGTCACTGATCACCCCGCTCCCAAGGAAGTCCCTTTCGATCCACCCTCTCGCTCAGAAGTCCAACGTGAGATCGGACTGCTGAAATAAAGCCGTGGAACCAGATGATCATCGTCCAGCCCTCTTCAAATTCGGGGGACCTGCTCTTGTGGATGATGTATACGAGTTATTAGTGAAACTGTGGGAGCAGGAAACTGTCCCAACCGACCGCAGTCGCTCCGTCATAGTCCCAATTTTCAAAGGAGGCTCACAATCGGAATGTGTCAGCCATAGAGGAATCAGTCTGATCTCCATCGTCTCCAAATTGCTTGCCTCTGTCATCCATCGCAGACGGACTGGTACATGTGAAAGCCATGTTCGTGAAGAGCAAGCCGGGTTTCGTCGAGGTCCAGGCTGCAATGACCACATCTTCACCTTGCGTCAGTTGTTGGAGCACCGTCACATATATTGGCGGCCCACCGTTGTCGTGTTCCTCGATATCAAAGCTGCATTCCATTCGGTGGATAGACATGCACTTTATGACTGTCTACTCAGGAAAGGGGAACCTGGAAAATATGTAAATATTATCCGAGCATTATACGCAGTTAGCTCAGGAAGAGTGAGGGCTTACGGCAAGCTGTCGTCGCCCTTAATTACCTCCAGCCGTATGAGATAAGAATGCCAGCTGTCCCCTTTCCTCTCCAACTTCGCTATTGATGAATTCATGGAAATCGCGTTTACAGGACACGACTTAGAAGGTGTGGATCTGCCCCCAGGAGAACGACTTCTTGACTTGGAGTATGCTGACGATACTTTCATAACCTGTGATAGATCCCAGACGTGCCAAGCGGCACTGGACAGATTATCAATGGCTGTCCGTCACTTCGGGCTTTGCTTTGCACCGTCGAAGTGCAAAGCGTTCCTCCAAGATTGGCCTGGACACCTTCCTTCGGTGACCCTTGGTGGGGATCACCAAGAAATCGTGCAAAAATTCAACTACCGGGGAAGTGGTATCAGCGCCCGTGGGATTGAAGATAAAATCACGAACCGTATAGCAAACGCTCGAGGCTCTTTTGCTAATCTTCGCCACATGGCGCCGGCGCGACATCACTCTTGCTCTGAAGGGCAGTGTACAATGCAGCGGTACGTTTGACCGCACTGTACGGTTGTGAAACCTGGCCGCTTAAAGTAGCGGACCTGAAGAGGCTGGTTACGTTCGACCACCGGTGCCTTCGTAATTTAGCTCACATTTGGTGGGAACACCGCGTGAGCAACGAGCATGTTCGACGCCCTGTTTATGGCACAGGAAAAGGAAATGAACCGATCAGCACCGTTATTTCATGCACCAAGTTCCGATGGCTCGGCCACGTGTTACGCATGACAGCCCACCGACTTCCGCGACGTGCGCTGTTTGCGCGCCGGGTGCGTGGATGGAAGAAGAGGAGAGGTGGCCAAGCGATGACTTGGTCGAGAGGAATGAAGGCCCCCACTTTAAAGCTGGTCTCAGTTGGAGCGTCTCGATTCCCTGGTTGGGGGTCCGAAAGACAATGAACACCTTTGGCTGGATCCATTTGCGGATAAAGCTAGGATCCGACCTCAGTGGCGCTCGTGCAGTGAGTTTCTATGTCCCACCCAATGTCTCTTAGCCTCACCCTTCACCTACGATC